TACACATAAACTAGCGAGCCCCAGAATGAGAAACAAATTTTAATCATTATTATTGACGGATTAGTAAACTTTTTACACGCTTTGGAAAATCTCAGAAGTTCGCGGTAGTCACTTTTAGGTAAGGAACTAGGGGACTCGGTTATTGTATCGAGGGGGGGGTCGAAACGATCGCAAAGGCGGTATACTACGTATACGCGCCAAAAAAGTCTCGAGGTTATGCTAGTCAAAGTCGGTATTCACAAATGGAACTGCGGAAAAATACATAGCTTTTTTCAAGAAAATCCGTCGGAAAATTCGGTTCCTCATCAGGAAATGGACTCCGGAAAATCAGGGAATGAGCTGGTCAAAAATAAAGCTCTTGCATGTGTTGAAAATTTGCAATTCACTAAGGTTCATAGTGAGGTACTAAGTAGAAAAATTCTGACATTTATCGTCTAACATAGGGGTAGATGAACTTAATTTTTCCTACAGTCTACTAATTTCCGTCGACTTCGTGGTTTTTTCGTCTGCCTCCGGAGTTTTGACGCCGGACATTTCGAGCAATGTCGTGGAACGTCAAACTTGACGATGAATATTACAAATGGACTCATTTAAATCAAAAGGAAATACATATACTCAGGCATGAGCCCTACCATACATGTATTCTTGTGGATTCCAGAGCTCATGTCATAATGGATATAGTTCCTTTTGATTTAAATACTTCCAAATGGATCGCGTTCAGCAGAAAAGAACCAAGCCACATCAGCTATTGCTAAATGTAATTGGGTAATTTAATTTTCTTCATGAAAACGGTTGTGCGGATTTCTGTGCGAATTTAAGTGAATTTTCTGCATAGCACGAAGCAAATTCTTTAAAATTTTCAAGGAAATCCGCCCAAATGCTCTCTTGTAAAAAACTAAATTGCCCAAATAAATTTGGCAAAATCTGATGTAGCTTGGTTCCTTTCTGCTAAACGTCATACACATCATGAAGTCCTACTCGACGTTTATACTTATTGAAATGTGGAAAAAAGGAAGGGCGGAAGTAGATGGAGCAGGCCATTGTTACGAGATTGTGCTGAAAAATCAGCACAATTCTCCATTTAATCCTATGAATAATTTCTTAATTAAATGGCACAACCTGGCAACCTTGGAGTCGGGTATAAGACGGGAACAAGCTGGGAAATAGAGGAGTTGGAGATTTATGAGAGGAGGAAAGAGAGACGAAAAAGGCAGAGGAAAAGGAGATGGAAAAGGAAAAGGAGGAAAGGCAAAAGATGATAAGGAAGAGAGAAAAGAACGCCAAAGCCGAGAAGAGTAACTTGTGCCATTTTAGTCTAAATAAATCACCCGCCTAGGTACGTTCCCAGGATTGCGAACGGTGCGCGGCGGCGAAGAGGATGAACGAAACTTTCACAACTCCGGAGACAAGTTCTTATCGGGAAACGCCGAGTGGGCCGTTCTGTTTTCCGAAGGAAAAACCCCGTATCATCATTCGGACGATGCCAAATTTCTCCCTATAAGACACGAGTTTTTTGAAAAGTTTCCGACTATTTTCCCTTCAATCTCTCAAAGAATCTTCTCCGCAATTTTGTCTAGTAAACTTAGAAATACCAAGATCAGACATTCATCACTTTTCTCGAAAATATACACATCATTCTGGGAAATTTTGCAACGTCTGAATGTTCATACGCCGCTTTTCCTTGGGAGATCGCGGAGGGTAGTAAAATTCATTTCGTGACGGCTTTTCCGCGCTTAATGAGTCCGCCCTCAAGAATGAAAAGTGCAACTCTTAAAGACTCGTTTGGATGCGAAGGCTTGTTACAGTGCGAGGCACCATTAGGCCTCCTCCGTCGTAAGTCTTAAGCTCTGACGTGGAGGAAGGGGGGGGGGGGGGGGGGGGGGGGTGTCCCCTAAGTCTTCATGATAGCTCTTAAATTAGCGGAATAGTCAGGATCCCACGCTTTATAGCGAGGGCCATTTCGTCGTCCTTCTGACGTTAGGGCGTACCTCGATTTCCACATGAGCCCTAGAAAGCACGGATTTACATTGAAATAGGGTTCACGTTGAAAATGAGATACGCCCTTACGTCAGAGGAGCGACGATTGTTGTGAGCAAGATAAGAGGTACGTCTGTAGAGAGAGTTTCCCATGTCCGTTTTCTTCGATATTGTTGCAACTGCGTCACGGAGGAAAATCCGGTTATTTACGACAGAGAAACCCGTTTCTTTGGATAGTTTCTTATTGAGCTGCCGAAGTAGCGTTTTCCAATGGAAAGTCGCGATTTTAAAAATTAAGTTATGATTTTTTCGGATTTTTGGCGATAAAACCATTTTTGTTAACTCCGATATTGTTGCTACTGTGTTACGGAGAAAAATCCGTTTACGACGGAGAAAACCGTTTTTTTTAACAGTTTCTTCTTGAACTGCCCGAGTAGCGTTTCACAACGGAAAATCGCGACAAAGTGATAGACAAGAAGGAAAAACGGATATGGAGGGATCCAATTGGTAGAAGCGGGTGGTTGCAATGGACAATGGAGGTAAGTAGTAGACTAACTAACGGCAACGCACGAGAGAACCTTTCCTTAGTCCATTATCTTCTCCCTCAGTCTATCCCACCCATTTCGACCCATAGGATTGCTCCCTACTCTTTATGTCTTCTTTGTCTATCGGTTTGTCTATCAATTTCAACAATCAGCCCGCAGATCGGACATTGAGGAGACCCATCCACTCATAGTAATGCACTTGGATGCATCAGTTATTCAGGAGAATTCATTAAAGAGCGTCATCCGCGACACTGCAATTTTTGGCAGCTAGTCAAAGATTGACCCAGACGGCTGTCGGCTTCCACCCCCCTCCCCTCATCATTCAGGAAGAGATTAGTAGCGCTTGTGATCTTTCCTTGACAAGCAGGACCAACTC